AATGGTCTTGCATGTCGTTCCACAACCAAAAAGAAACAGAAAAAAGGAAAATAGTTTTTAACCACTTTGATTTTACTGGTCTGTAGAATTTGGAACTCGGGTTCCAAAATTTTTTTTTTTTCATCTTTCCTTGAAAGATAAAGCAATTTTTTTCCATCTCACTAATTAATGTTTGATAGTTGAGTAACATAAGAGTACTTCTATTAGACTTTCCAATTCAATTAGATAAGAAAGGAAAAGAAAGAAAAATCTAACAGGTTTTGTGACGACGTAAGGGCAGGAAGGCAATGTTTTAAAAATCGGACCGTTAATTGAACCGGTGAAGTGAAAGGGTCGAGGTTCAATCGGTCGGACCGGTTCAACCTCGGTTCAATGAATTTTTTTAAAAATAATTTATATAAATATATATATGTACAAAATAAGACATGTAATGGACTAATTTAATACTTTATATGATGAAAAGTTTACTATTTTTTAATAACTTTGATTTTTAAAAATAAATTTTTTAAATTATAAGTTAAAACAAATAAATTTCATCTCAATTTCAATTATATCTAAATCCAACCCAAAAATATCACAATATTTTGAAATTATACAAAATTCACGTCTATGAGAATTTAGATATTGTGAACTTAAATTTTAATTTATGTTTTGAGATTTAGAGATTGCAATTTAAAAAAGGAAGTTTGGAGTTCGAAGGAAGTCAAGAAAATCGAAAATAGAAATGTAAACTTGATAAGAAATAAAAAATGAGATAAAAGTGAGTGGTTGTGGCATTAAATAATTTGGGTTAAAAAAATAATTCTTTTTTAACTTTTTTCAATTTAATGGACAAAAACAAAATTAAAAGATGGAAGAAAACATCAATAAATTATAAATAAAGAGGTTTGATTAAAAAGGGAGTGACAAAAGAAAAGAGGATAGAGAGAGAGAGAGAGTTGAAAATTAAAAAGAAAGAGCCATGCGAGGATGAGATTTTGTAAGAAAAATGGAAAAAAGAAATATGAGTGTTTGCTTTATATAAATAAGTTATCAAAAAAACTAATAAGATGTGATGGTGCAACGGTTAATACATTGGTCTTCTATTACAAAGGTTTTGAGTTCAAATCTTGATAGTTGCATTTTGCCAAAAAAAAAAAAAAAAAGGAAGGTTGAAAACCGGTTCAATGGCGGGTTTCATGGTTCGACCGGTTCTTGACCGATTTTCTGTCAAAGTCAACTATGGCATTGAACCGGACCGGTGCCATGACCGGTTCGCGGTTCAACCGGTCGAACCGGCCGGTCCGGTCCGGTTTTCAAAACATTGCAGGAAGGAAAGGGACTACAGTGTAAAATATATGCCTAATATTATGATAATACTTTGGTACTTTGGTAGAAACTTATTGAGATGTCTTTGCATCCACTTTTGGTTGCGGGGTATAAAACCATTTGGATTGAACGATGTGGAACAATAGGAAAGGAAAAGAAAAGAAAGGACTCTAGTTTAAAAAAAAAAAAGGAAATAGACGTAGTTGGCCACCAAAAGAGTCTTAAGACTCTATTTGGATGTAGGTTAAGGAATTAAATCTCTTGGCCTACATTTTAATATCCAAAATTTCCTAAAATGTTCCGCCAGCGAGTGCGTAGGCACTCGTCTGAATCGACAGTGGTTCAGTTCTCGTCGGGTTCCCTTTGACCCATTTGGGTCCTTCCTCCCTCTAGTATAGAATAAGTGTAGATATAGTATATAATCTATCGTGTTTGACGAAAAAAAAGTTGAAGAAAGTAATTTCCATACATCTTGCTTTCATTAAGTACACAAGAAAAAGAAAAAAAAAAGGTGAATCTACTGTTTGGACTGGGAAAGGAAAACAAAAGAAAGAAAAAATTTGATGTGTTGGTTATGTTTTTTGTGCATAAGTTAACAAAATCTAGTTTACAACTACAATTTAGCACTTTACCTTCCTTTTTTTTTTTGGAGTATTCAACTCTTTATTATCAAAAGGAGAAAAAAAAAAGCCCCAATGAAACGATAGCATACTGAAAAGGAAGCATTTTTTTAAGAGGCAAGACCTATTGACCTAGTCTCCCTCATTATAATTTTATACCAAGTCTTTAGTCCGCTGGAGCTCTAATTCCCTATTTGTGCCTCATTTGGTGTTTATGCCAAACCACCATCATAAGAATTTTCTTTTTGATTTAACCTAAAATTCTGTTTTCAGTAGTATCCAAAATAAAAAATAAAGGATACAAATAAATTGTCTTAAGACTGTTCTTTTAGTTTCTTCAATTGTAGAACTTCTGACCTAATGATGATATAAAATGTGAACTCCTTCAGAGCTAGAAAGCATTGCGAGTCACAATCGTAGCTTGAGAATTCATGGAGTCCAACTTCTACACTTTCCCTTTTGCATCTTTAAAATAAATGCCAAATGTAATGACAAATAAATAAAGATTTGCAATTTCAGCTAAGCACATTGAACAAATCAAAACAGCATATATACTTAGATATCCACATTTGAATATTTCAGAAGGATAAAAATCTAGATTTTGCAAAAGAAAATGGCATATACGCAGATACCATGTCACCAATCAACTTGCTTGGAAAACAATTTTGGCAAATTGTGATTTACGTAGTTCAACTCTTTAATCCTGTTGATTGTATGAATTGACACCAAAACGCAGATCAGAATTTTAAGATTACATTTGACAAGCAAGTATTGTTGATGAAATCTCTTTGCCGTAGCTTATTGGCCTAGCCATTCCAACCAATTTGTGATACCTTTATATTTTTGTTGTCTACATTTCTTTATTGACTATATGTTATGTTTGTTATACCTGGGGTTGAAAGAGCCCTGAGTGTTAATATTTTGGAAACATAAAGTTGATTGGAGAAAACATGTAAATATAAAGCGTAATGTGTTGCTCTTCATTTTTTTTTTTTTGGTGCAACCTCAATTTGATCTCAACAAGTCTAGTGTCAAGTTTTATCTTCGAAAAAAATGCAGTATTTCGAAAACAATGTAATTTCTCATGCTATTTCATTTTTGTATTAAGAATTAAGTATTACTGCATAATTTGCTTACCCTCTATATGAAAAACTACATTTTAATGAGATTAATTACCCACATACTAAGAAGACTATAATTAACGAAACATTTTAGTAACAAGAGCTCAAAGTTTTGTTTCCTTTTCTTAAAAATAAAAAAAAAAGTCAACGTTTTCTTGCTTCTTCCCTTGGTTTAGGAGTATTTATTACCAGCACACCAAATTCAATAACCAGCCGAATTTTTTAAATGTGTTTACCTAAATCCGTTACCTGTCCGGCATTGAAATCTGTGTATCAAACTGAACTGCATCGAAATGGATACCATAGGCAAGCCAATGACATCCAACCAAAGAATACCACAAGTTTTTGTTTTGAGTGTCATTCAAAAGACTCACTATTATTGTGTTAGACAAATATGTAATACTTTTATTTATAGATTTTAATTTCCTAGAGGGCCTTTAAAATTATTGATGTTAAACTAATAGACTAGAAAGTCGAGTTAGAAACTTTGAGCTTTCAGCCATTGAAATTCAAAACAGCAGTTTTCGTCCAATAAATTTTGAAATCCTTGAATTGATTTTAGTAAAAATGTCAAGTGGTAGATTTTTTATTAAATAAATTATGTTATGTATCAATACATACATATTAAGTATTTAGAGATCTTCTACTGAATTTCATGAAGTTACTCGTTGATTATCTAAGTAGATGTTTAATGGGTTTGGATACCTAAAGATGACCGTTATATTGCTGGATAATTGACAATGGAAAGATGCAATTCTTTGAATATTTGTATAGACCAAGAACATAGTATACGTAAATGATGTGACGTAGCTTATTGAATTGCCAAGCAAGACATTGTAGGGATTGGTGAAAACGTGTAGAAGGTGAAAACGTGTAAATAGAACGACTCGGCCACGAGGTCCAAGTCATCCCTCCAATTAGAATTCTATTCTGTAGACAGGGAAAGCAAAAATACAAAAGCTAGAAATATTGAAAATTTTGACGTACAAAAGAAACTTCCAATGAAAAAGGGAAAATTACAGTTTACACCCAAGGTTTATATACCCTTGTCTTTCTTTGCCCGTTTGAATTGCATTTATTATTACTTTAACCATTTTTAAACCCCTAAAGAGAAAAGCTCCCCTTAATTTCTTCTTTTTTTACCTTCATCCTTTTCTTTTGCTGTCACTTTTCTTTTCATTCATTAAAAATAAAACGTATTCAAACGATAAATGTTTAATGACTGTAGATAAGAATAATAACATAGGTTAATAACTTTATAGTTAAGTTGATAATCAACAATTTAGTGAAATGCAAAATTATTGATTGATTGATCAACTATTGATGTGTAATATGCTATATTTCATGATTAATCAATATTTACAGTGGAAAAATTACAATAAAAAGATTGCAATGGGACTAAACAACTAAAAGATTTCACTCTAAGTACAGAAAGGAGAGCTAACACGTAAGAAAATAGTAATAAGGAAACAAGAAGCAAAAGAAGGAAGAAGGGGAAAATTATGAAAAAGAAAAAGGAAACAGAAAGAGGAAACAAGGAAAAGAAGAAAACTTGAGAAAAAGAAATGACAATGAAAGTGTATAAGAAAAAGAAAGAAAAAAGGAGCATAAGAAAAAAAAGCATAATAATAGTGGCATTTTTTTTTTATCTAATAACACTTCAAATTCCTTAGTCTAGTAGCAAAGGTTGAAATTCCAAGAATTATAGGTCCTGAATTCTGATTTGCTTTGTCTCTTCTCTGATTCTTAAATTCCACCCATTCTCTACTCTAAAAAAAGAAATTCAAATTCAAAGAAGGGGGGTTAAGTCCTGACAAATAAAATTATAGGGGGTAAAGTGAGACAAAAATGTAAACCTAGGGAGTTCAAGTGTTTAATTCAGCCAATGCCAAAAAATTGAGAAGAAGCTTCTTCCATTATATATACTTGAATAAATGAATTCTCTGGTCTCCCAATAGAAAAGTAGCCATGACTTCAACTCCAAAACCAAACAGGAAAAAACAGCAGCTATATCTTTCCTCTTACATGCCGGCCACTCTTGTTTTCCTCTTCTATGGCTCAAATCCCAGATAGCAGCTGCAAAAAGGAAAACCATCAGCCTAAAAGAACCAGCAGTTGTTTCCTGGGCTGTTTTGGATCATCTATTCCTCCCCATAAGGTCAAAGAAAAGAGCAAGAAAAGCAGCACTAGTCCTACTACAACTACAAGAACTACAGTTTCGTGGTTTTCTTGGTCCAAGAAATCCCCTAAGAGAACTGTTCCAGTTGATGCTGCCACCAGTGAAAAGCTCCATCAAAGAAAAGATGGTTTTTTAATGGCCAAATCTATCAAGAAAGTGTTAGCTAAACCTCCAAATCTTCCAGCAGACGGCGCCGTCGCTGGTCAAGCTCCGGGTGGTCCGATTGGTGATGTGATTGTCCAAGGGAAAAAATTTGCTAAGGTATGATATACGTGCAGTTATTAGTATGTATTATTTCCAATTATGTTGAGAAAATTACTTAAGAGTCCCAATCCAAATTACAAAAAAGAAGGGACGTTATTTTACTCAAGATTGAGTTAGATTCTCATTCTAACTTTTTATTCAAAACTTCTGAGGAAAAAAACAGAAATAGCAAATTAGTGGATAACTTGAATGATGAGATATATTTTAATGCCATGATAGGTGAAGGGACTAATTTCAATTCTTAAATTGGCCAGATGTTGGTTTTACTAGCAAATAATGTGTTTGGATATAGGAGATAATTTGGAAAAAAATTTATTTAAAATAATATTGTAGCATGTTTTGTGATATAGTGTATTTGAAATAAAAAGATGATTGAAAATTGTGTTTATAATACAAATTGAATAATATTTTTTTAAAAAAAATTTTGGCAAATCATGTGGTTGTTCAAGCTTTTTGGAGTCTGGATGTTGGTTTGACTGCTTGGCCTTTTAACAGAAGGTCAAATATAGCTCACAATTGTAAAATCAATACGATACAAAATTCAAATATATACAGCTACACAATACCTTTCTATCATGATTGAATTTTTAATGTAACATTTCTTTTCTTTTTTTTTGTCAGTCAAAGTACGAAAATGCTCAAAAGATCATCCTCGAGAATAGCAAAAGCTTAAATCGTTTGGAGTCCATTGTGGAGGAGACAACGTATAAAAAAGGGTCATCTAAAAAACACTCTTCAAGTCATCGTTCACCGGAGGACAAGCAAGCGGCTAGCCAGCGGGCCGTGGCGGTGATCTCGCACTCAACCTCTATGCCGCCACCGTCAATACAGAAGAAACCCGCGGTGGGCAACGGTGGCGAGCAAAGTTTTCTCGTGAAGAAAGACAAATCTCAAGGAGAAAACGACAAGCAAGGTGGCAAATTTGACCGGTTTGTTGGGATGTCAATTATATTGGTGACCCTAACAATTATGGTAGTTTGGGGTAAGTTATGTGCAATTTTGTTCACTTCTGCATGGTTATATTGCTTCCCTCTCATCAAAGCCCAAAAGGTTGAACCAAAAGTTACAACAAGAAATGGTTCAAAATCCTTTGATCTAGATATAAACTCAGAAGAATATAAGAAGAAGGTTGTTTTAGAGGGACTTCTGGAAAGAAACCGTAGGAATAATGCATAATGGTGTTGGATTTTTTTAGTCTGGAACAAATTTCAGTTGAACTTTTCTTTTCTTGGGTTTTTGTTTTTTTTTAGGGGGGGGGGGGGGTGTGGTGTTGATTAAGGGTTGGCAAAATGGTGCATTGATGTTGCTCATTTATGTAATGCTGTTTTCCAACTAAAAGTGGCACATTTGTTTGTATACTTTATAGGAAGATCTCCTAAATTTTGTGAAAGGAAATAGATATCTTGATCCATTCTATTGATTTGTCCACTTGTTTATTAATTTGTTTAGCCATTCAAAAGTAACTAGAACTCTGAAAGGCCAAAAAAAAAAAAACGAAAAAAAAAGAAATAAGAAATTAAAACTCAGAAATATAAAGGTTAGCTTATATAACGACTCCAAAAAGAGATGTTATGCTTGCACAGATGAATTATGTTAAGGCAATCTAACATGAAATCGACTAATTGTCATGCCTGTCCCAGATGGGTTATCGAAAAGAGGCCGTATTCACTTGAATTAGACATTTTAAAATAATAATTAATATTCGCGAATCATTGGGTTAACCTAAACCCAAAGTATAGTAGGATGGTGGGCGAATATTCGAAAGGTTTTCTTATTTGGTGCCTAGACGTATTAAAAAAGAAGAGTAGATCAACTATTAATGTTTTATAATTGTCACCCACCTCGTGAATTACAATACTTTTCTACAAGAAATTTATCCTTTTGTCAAAATTATCACCCATTTCTTGAATTACAATATTTTTCTACAAGAATTTTCTACTTGTTTGGATTGTGATTTTCTGCAAAAAAAAAAAATTATATTTTCCGTTAACACATTTTCTAGTCATCCTTTTGCCTCATGTATATCAAATCGCTACAGTGTATTTTTCTACAAAAACTTCTAAAAATAGCAATTCAAACGTACATAAAAAATATGACATTTTGTCATGTACATCAAAATTTTCTACATTACATTTTTTCAAAAATATGACATTGGGACCACTTACACCCACCCTATTTGAAAAGGCAACCTTTTCCGCGTGGACAAAACTATAGGAAGGCAAAATAATTTCTTAACACGTTTTTGTTCCATTAATCACGTCAGTATTTGAATTCCAATCAGTCCAAATATTTCATTATCTATTATACAATTTTCTTTTTATCCTTAACCAAACTAAGCATTTATTTGTACTCCATTTTTTCTTATTAAAATTGTGTTAATGTTGTACTTCCTTTGTCCCACTTTGTCTTGGTTTTTTTTTCACATAGTTTAAAAAAATTAGTTAACTTTATTAAAAGAATAAATCTAACTTAATGTTTTTCTAAATTACCCTTATGTTAATATTAGAAGTATGAATAATCATTATACCTTTACATTAATTACAGCAATAATACTGAAGATTGCACCATTCAAGCATGAATAAAAAATAATTATTAAATAAGGTAATTATACTCACTGAAAATAAAGAAAGTATGTTAAATAAGGATATTTTAGAGAAATTAAAAATTAACTATATTTTCAATTTAAAAGTAGACTATAATTTGAGGTAAAAAATGAAAAAGAAAAATAAAATTATCAAAATGGGATAGAAGGAGTATAATATTAGCTCCACCAAATCCATTAGCTCTATTTGATTGGTTCTGGTGCTTATCCTTTATAACTGCCATTTGGAGGTTTCACGTGATGTTGATATATGGGAAGGCATTTGTTGAAAAAGCCAGAAATTGAAGAACCATCTTCTGGTTCAATTTCTAGGTCCAGTCCTGCTGTCTGCTTCCTGGCTACCTAGCTAACCACTTGCGGCGATTAATTAAAAGAAAAAGACTGAATCAACTACTCTTTTTCTTATTCTTTCGGCATCTGTTCTGGTTATCACTTTCTAGTTTAGTCCTATGGATAAGTGAGAACTCATATATCTATGGTTTTGGGTAGAGGTGGCAAAATGGGCGGAATTTGTTTGGGTTTGAGATGGAACCGAGTTATATGGGTTTAGGCCCAATCTTACCCATATGTGTTTTGGGACTAACTTGGGCGGGATCACTTTGGCATGAGTTTAGATTGATCCCGCCCAATACCCAAATCTATTTTCTACATATTTTTTTTCCTTTAATTCATTTTTTATTTTTTATATAATTTTAATATTTTTGATTTATTAAATTTCTTTTAGTTTTATTAAATAAACATGCAAGTGCTTTATACTCAAGATTCCCACAAAAAATTGGATTAACAAATAAAGGAAAAGATAGATATACAGCCATATTCCAACAAATATCAAGATGGCCAAGGTACGGTGTTGAATATTTATTCTCATCATTGTCCAAAGATGACAGGTCTAAACTAACTGAAATACTGAAAATTCTTGTGGATAATGACTAGGAAGACGACTAGATTATATTCGCTAGTATGACTATAAAAATTGTTAAAGATAATTTTTGAATCTAAGACTCCGTTTGGATTGGCTATTTTTTCAAAAAATAAGTTTTTCAAATACAATGTTACAGTAATATACAATAACTCAAAAAACATCCCATCCATATTAGTATATCAAATATTCCAAAAAAAATTTATAGTAAAAATTTTTCATATACACTGCTACAATAAAATATTTCAAAAATACCCCCCAAAAATAGCTAATCCAAACGGAGCCCTTACTATTTGAGTCCAATGGGTACCCAAGTATTTCCCAAAATTTTCCATCAATTAATGGGTACAATTGGGATTTGTCCCATTTTAAACCCAATATCAAATTCCAGTACCCATCTCGCCCAAAGTCCCCATGGGCATGGGTAACTCATTGGGACTTGGGACAAATTGCCACCTCTAGTTTTGGGACATTTGGAGCTTAAAGATTTATAACCATTTTAACGGTGGTCTATCTACAAAAGAAGCATAAATGCTAATTATGATATGGGATAATTTCAGAAACCTCCCTTGAGGTTTCTGACAATTTCACTGAGTTCCCTTAAAATTTTCAATATTACACTTACCTCCCTTGATGATAGACAATGACCATAATAACTTTCATAATTTTTCAAAAGATAAGCCATTGATTAAAAAAGGGAAAAGATAACAGAAAAAAGGAAAATAAAAAAAAAGGAAAACAATTCTTCTTGACCAAGCCATATATTGTGGCCAAACTATTTCAGTCGTGGCCATTAAAATTGTAACATTCTATCACTCAAATATACTAATCAAGGTAGATATCTCCTTTATTCTATCACTCAAATATGCTACTGCTTTTGATGGTAATGGAAGCAATCATTACTGAACAACCCAATTGTTCATATTATTAAACACAAAAAGCTAGTGGATTGCGAAAAAGTATAATTTGATAGACTGTACTAAAACTACTATCCCAAACTTGCACTTTGTTGATATTTTACCCGGTTCCTCTTAATAGAAATTAAATTTGTTCTCGATAAAATTGTGTCAATTTAGAGAAAAAAGCGTGGACTGATTTAGGATGATCAACCCAAATGTTGAGAGCAAAGGTTAGAAGAATTCTGGTAACTAAGGGCTTGGCTGTTTGGGTGAGGAAAAGGTAGGGATTGTGAGTTTTATGACTAATGGCTTGGTAGGCATATATGGAAGAAACCTATAGAGAGGTAAGATTGTGAAGGCAAGAATTACGACAGTAGATTTTGGCATCTAAGACAAAGAGTTTGTTTGGGAGAAGAAGAAATCATAAGAGTTTGAAAGTTTGGGTAGATGTAGAAAACCATAGGGATGGAAAAATATCAAGACATTAGTTAAACAATAAAACTCATAATTTTGGTAGTATACAAGTGTATTCTTCACTTTTTTAAAATTTTAATGATTATTCATATTAAGGAAATTTAAATGAGGGAAATTTTGGGTATTAATATGTTTTTTTGGTCTTACATCATTAAGGTGAAATCCAAACCTATGTTTTAGGGGAGGTATATGTAATTTTTAAAACATGAGGGAAGCTGTCTGAAATTACTAGAAACCTTCTGAAATTATCCCTTATGATATATGACAGTAAAACACATAAATTAGATGAATGTATACGTAATAAGAAGTTGCATTTATTTTGGTGCGACTTTTATTGGTGCCATGGTTGGAATATTCGTCCACAGCCCAAGGGCTGGTCAATGAGAACGAAGACTAACTAGCCGAGACGGGCTGTCGGTATAACTGCAAATGACTTTCAATTTATCATCCTAATGACATTGCCATTTAGACATGAGATGTTTTAAACCAGAAAATGGTATGTAAGATTGTGCCAATTGTTTCGTCAAAAATTTATGCATTCTTGTGTTGACAACGCTCTCTCAATTTTTTCCCATTGCTAGTACACATGCAGACTTAGGATTTTTAATAAAGGGAGCGATATAATAAAGGTAGAAATTTTTTTAACAAGTGTAATTCTAAAATTATGAATTTTGTGTTAATTTTTTCCATTTCTTTGGCTTAATAATCAGACTTGATATCTGCTTGCAATTTTTTGCAAAATACTAGAAACCAACATTCTCTAACAACAAGTTCTTTATTACCAATATCGTTTCCACAAAACACCATTAAAATCAAGTCTAGAAAACATAATAAGGAACTCACCTACCCAATAGTAAATTAAAATATGCATTAGTATGTCAAAATTATATAATAACCCTTGCATCTATCTTCTCTTTCTCACCATCCTACACAAGAAAAAAAAAAGAAAAAAAAATCTATGTATATAAATATAGCGCTAAGTTTTATTTTAAAGTACCGAATGGGATTGTTAGCTAGTAACAAGTGTTAATTGCAATACATGTTTATGATGAGCTATTTTGGAAGCTAATAAAACTTTGTCTAGTGGTTAAGGTTGAGACATCAAAATTAGAAGTGTTGAATTCAAATTCCCTTTCCCCTTCCCTACTTTCCATATTCACTCTTCCCTTGCTAATAAAAAATGAGATATTTTTAGAGACAATACATGAAATTCTAAGAAGATTACATGTGTTAAAAAGGAATTTACTGGGAAACTAAATTGTGTAGGACAACCAATTTAATAAGCGTATCAAAATATTTAGAGAAGCTACTATATTTCCTGAGGTAACTCAAGTGAAGAGGGCGGGGCAATGAAATTGTTCTAAAGTTCAAGTGGGGCAAAACAATAAATGTAAATAAAAATTATCAAAATTTCTAGGGGTTCAAAGGGGATTAGTCAAAACTTGGGAAGCGGCTGCTGCAGTTAGCCCCTGCGGCTCTCCCTGGTTCCCAGAATTTTCACACTGCATTTAGCTATATTCTCTCAGAGCTTACTATATTTACTAACTACAAATTTCAACGTCCTCCAATCTTTCTTCCAAGCTGTAGTTAGTGCTATTATTTCGACAATTGGTTTCTATAAATCAAAGGCAACTTTAATACTTGCTCCTTGACAAAAGTCTCCATTATGGTGAACTTTATATCTAAAATAAAAAAACATAGTGTAAAGAAGCAAAAAAGGTACAATTACCCGGATTTTTTTCCCAAAAAAATAATGAAAATAACAAAAAGTGTATCTCATAAATAATTATCTAAATTATCAATTAGTAGAGTATTATCTACTAAACTGTACTTTTAAAGCTAGACTAAACTTCCACCCCAATATTCACACTACAGGCTAACTAGGACTTTATCAACTAGTCTATGACTTCCAACCTAATGTTAACAGGACAGGAAAACTTGGAGTTTGTTGATTAGTGTACACTATCTATATTGCCAAACTAAATTTCACGTTTCTTTTTTCCGTTGTCTGATAAACACTAAATAAATAAAAAGTGAGTCAGTGTGGATCAATTGGAGAGAACATTAGAGAGACAAGGCA